GAATTCTATGACTTCTGAGAGCACTGCAAATGCTGTGTACTCGTGCAGTGTTTCTGAAACACAGCCACTCGGAAAGACATCTGTAGAAATTTTCCTAATAGCATAACATAGTCACTAGTGTAATTTGTTAGTTCCTAACATCCTGCCTTTCAGCTTCCAGGACTTCATGGACCAGTGTTCTGGTATGTGATAAAATATAGCTCCTGAATCCCTGTTTCAATGATCCAACTAGAAGTAACCTGAATTTCAGGTCAGTGGTGATGCACAAACTCCACTGAAGTAAATTACAAATATCAGCGTTTTTTAGCCTTGTTTCTGTAGGCTGTAATCATGGTATATTTGTGCCTATGAAGACAAGGGGGAGAAAGAGAATAATTCTTTTTATTAGATTTTTTTTAGCCAATTGAAATCCAATTTAAAGAGAGAACGAGGAGGTATCAAGTAATAAATTCCTACATGTTTTCTGAACATCAGCAGCTTGATAGAGAACAGACCCTTATATCAACACAGTTGCTATTGCATTAACATAGGATTCAAGTAAACATTTGATTCTAACACTTCGCTTATCCGTAAGGCTTAGCTGTTACCTTGCACTCTGGTTGGAGTTTGGAGTTTGGAGAAATTGGTCACCAGGCAGGGAGACTCAGAGAGGACGGGCTTGTGCTTGAGTTCAACTGGTGCAGGCATTGTGGGTGCAGGCGGCTCAAACCATTTTGGCCCTGAAATTTGATCTTGTTTGAGCAGATACCAGACACAGGAGATGAGTAGCTTCCCACTTGGTGCTGTGAGCAGTCCTGGGCCAGTCACTACCTAATCTGTGAGCCTGCCTGCATTAGCCAGTCAACGGACACAAACATACCCCTGAAACAGTCATGGCATGTATGCAGAGCAAGGCAAAAAAGGCTTGGTAGCAGACATAAGGTGGCGACAGTACTGCAGGGCTCGGGGGAGAGACCATGGGGTGGATCTCAGTCTGATGAGAGTCCTAATGAGGGTTGTGTAAGGTATATGAGGAAGTTGGAGTGTGCTGGGACATTCATGGTACCATGGGAGACACAAAGTCAGGAATATAGAGATGCTATAGAAATGGGGAGAACAAACTGAGAATATTGGGACAAGAACGTGGTGGAAGCACAGCTGGAGTTAAAGACGTGAGGAGTTTGGGATACGTAGAATCAAAGTGACTGGAAACCAAACATACTTAGTTCTGCTGCTCATGGAAGTGCTTATGTTAAATTCAAAGTTGAGTTTGAATTTGTAGCTGGACATTTTAGCCAAAGAGTTTCAATCAGAGGAACAGATTACTGGTCCATTCTGTCCCATAAAAAGAGGTGATTTACTTAGTTTTCTGCCTATGCTGGAAAATTATAGTTTTCTCTGAAACTGGAAGACTGGATTACAAGTACCCCATGAGCTTCTTGGCTTTGGTTCATGTTCTTCCGTCATTTATTATAAACCCAAACCACACAGAATTAATGTGAAGTTAAGGCACAGATTGTTATTACACTGAAAACGTTTCAAGGAATTAAAAGAAAGGTCTCCACATTTTTAGTATTTATTGTAGGCTTTAAAGAAATGTTAGATAGTAGAAGTGATATTCACCTTCAGTGTCAAAGGTAACCATCTCATCATCTTGGCAGACTTAGTTCCTATCTCTGCAGTTTAAATAGCTTGTGAATCTTCTGCGTTTCTTGCATTTCTAATAGTTTATCAGCTTCAGGTAGAAATTACTGCTGTGGTAGTTTTTAAGATCTACTATGGCATACTGCATGTACACTGCATTTTACTGAGAAATTTTATCTGGGCTTTGGAGAATTTTATATACCCAACACATCTTTTTATATCTCCATAAGATGATTGGGGAATAAAGAAAACATAGCAGCTGTTCAAATTTCTGTATAATCCATTCCCATGGTCTATGTTATAATCTTAAAGTGTTGGTACTGTAATACTTAAAACACAGCAGAACTGGACAACAACTAAGATGTTACCTTCTTGTTTGGGGAAAAAAATAGTCTAGCCTCAAGTGCCAGCTGTGAGACTGTCAAGTAAAAGTGCTTGCTCAGTAACATGCATTCTCACATCAGCTACTGTATATTTCTGCTCTACACAAGGGAATAGCATAATGGAATATATTCCTACCTAGTTTTATGTTTCCAGGAGAAGAATCAAAATAAATAAGAGCTTATGTTTAAATACTTTTTGCATTCTAGAAAGAATCATCTTGGCTCAACTTCAGGAATGTTATGTTTAGGTGCTTATTTCTAGTCTTTTTCTGGGATGCTGTTTTTAGATAATGAAATTTTGCCAAAAATTGCCAAACTATTCCCTGCTATATAAAGAAACTCATGGCATTTCAGAGACACTGTTATGGCTTTTTAAGAAATAACTTCTGTGTGTGTTTAAATGAGATGTTGTGTTTGCTTGGTAATGCAGTCCATTTTATTCTCCATCATTACATATAAAATAAGAAGCTATAACATGTATTTATGCACATAACTTGATTGAATGGATTTACATATACCTATCTACACTGATTTACCTGCTGCTGTCTAATTTCTTTACATTTTGTTTTGTAATGTAATGTTTTTAGTTGTGTAGGTGGATAGAATAATACAGAGAAAATTGAAGCAAGGAGTTGATTGTTTGCTGGCTACAAAGAAATGAGAAAGACTTTTACACAGTGATTGCTCTTTTAAAGGATGGTTCCTGTATAGGCAATTGCTTGTGCTAAAATTACATGCCAGACACTCAGCTCTGAGAAGGCTTTGTACCTCCTTATAGTTATACTGATTGTTGCTGCAGTTCCTGCTAAAATAAGAAAAAGCAAGCTCCAAGGTAGAAGGATATTCAGATAAAATGCAGACTGTGGTCACTGGAAGATACCTCCACTTGATAATATCAAAAGTCCTCTCATGAAGGGCTAAAAACTGCCCTTCTTAGTGAGGATTAGTTCTTTACTGCCATCTTCATATGCCATTGTGGCAAACAGATTTGCCTTACCGAGAAGTGAAATGAGGAAAAAGACTTTTTCAGGTTGCTAGGTGTGGCCAACACATCAGAGCTGATTTTGGGGAAGACAAAACTAGCTGAGCTATACTGATCAATGAAATGGTAACAGAAATAAGTGAAATTTATTTGAGAGCATGGAATTACATTATTTTCTGGACAAAGCTGCTGTGGCAGATTGGATTGAGGAAGGTGAAGGGGGGTGAAAGGTGCAGAAATACATTAACATAAATGGATAGTTGAAATCAGAGTTGCACCAATTTAAAACTGAGAGGAGATGAAGATCCGAATTCAACATAATGGAGTATCAGGGCCTTTAACCTTGTAACTGCTCTCTGTTACTTAGGCCTTGAATAACCTCTAGAAGAAATCACAGTAGATTTTTTTTTTCATTTTTAGAAATGTACCTGCTTTGCTTCTTAAATCTGTCTCTTGCTTCAACATACTATGAACTAGACATATCTGCTAGTGCTAATATGACATGTGACCTGGTTTTTGTGGCCCACATGCAAGGTTTTAAGCTGCAGAAGCAATGAGCAAACAAGTGAAGTCCGTTGACATAGGAGTAGTAGGTCATGAGGGGAAAGGGGGATGGAGAGAGTGAAGTGACTGACCTTGCTGTAAATGGTGCCACATATAGGGATGGTAGGAGAATGTGAGCTGGCATCAGGTAAGACCTATGACTGTAAGATACTGAGGGTGTAGCGACTTCCTGTCTCTACTTTGTGTTTATACCTAAGGTGAACTAAACTTTAAAGCACACAGTGGAGTCTGAATAGATCTGGGTAAAGGTGATGTGAGAAGCCTCAGACTAAAGTTAGTGCCCTGATTTTTGGTTCTCCCAAAAGTACAGAACTTGACCAAGGTTTCTAAATCACTTGCTAAGATTCAGCAATAGTTAAGGATGTGTGGGCCTTGCTGCCTTGTAAACCAGGCTAAGTTATGGCATAAATTGAAATTTACACCTCTCAATGTGTTTTAATTCAAGGATTCTATATTGTACAAAATGAAACCCAAAGGGAAGTTTAATGTCCAGGATCAAAGAAAGGTGGTCCTGCCTCCTGTAGACTGAAATCACTGTGCCTATTACATATACAGTATTTTTATGTACAGTTTTCTAAAACTCAATAGAAATTTACATAAATGCAAACCACAGCTACTGTAAGAGACCATACTTCTGTAAATGTGCACCTCTTGCTTTAGTTACAGCTAGGGAGAAAAGCTACATTTATTCCCCCTCAGAGCATTAGAAATGCAGTTAGATAAGAAGGAAAACTAGTGCTTGCTCTGTATGGCTCAACAATGAAGGCAAACATGGAATTGTCTTTGTCAATCACATTAGAGAAGTTTTAAGAAATGCGGTTATGTGATGTAAAGCCATACTCAACAGTTCACACAGATACTGACATAATGTGCAGTGTCACAAAAGCATAGAAAATAGTTGTACAACCAAGTAAATGATAAAGATCCTCCACAGTACTCTACAAAACATACTACAGATGTATCTCTCTTACTCAAAGATATTCATCATACTTGAGGTGAAAGGCAGCCTTATGTTAGACAATGCAGGAAATGAAAGCTTGAACACCCTCAGACAGCTAGAAATTTCTACTTGTAGGAGACTGAATCTATTTTATAGAAAGTATTCTGGAAGTATCCAGCCCAAGAAGATTGTAACTGATATCAGTTCCATGTATATTTTCAAACCAATATCTTTTTAAATCAGCTTCAGCAGAAGTTTTTGTTAAAGGTCAAATAACCTTAAGACTGTAGTCTCAGAATGTAGATTTCCACCAATAAATGTTTGTTGTAATTACATTTTCCAGTAAACACAATTATAAATGCCATATTTTAAGGGAAGATAACACTCAAAAAACCCCCCAGAACTCAAACCCCAACAGGCTGATGACCAGACAGTCAATACTACTTAATTTTTGTAGCATAAACATTTCAAAGAAAGCACATGATTGCTATTTTGGATAGGGTATTACCTTTTTTCTTTCCTCCATATGTATTTGCTGGGATGGTGATATAAGAAAGCAATAAAAATGAAAGAAGTTGCAAACTTTTCATTTCTTCTTTCTCTGAATGAGTTGGGGAATGCACTGCTCAATTCTGCCAAGAGATGGGAAAAGGAGAGAATTACCAGTGCTTTGCAAGAAATTGTTTGCCCATTAATCATTAACCTTAAATTCTCCTGTCCACTGCTCTAGCCTCTCCTTTTATGGAAGTAAAAATGGAATTTGCTGGTTTCCAACCTCTTCTTTTTTATTTTCTGCCACTTGTGGCAGGAATAATTTGGAACTGGATCCTCCTCCCTTGCACAACAGTGCTCTGCTCTGAACACAGTGGGCTTCAGGGCATTTGTTCTCCGGTATACTCCTAAAGCCATGAGTAGGCAGCTCAAATTTGGTTGGTCAACATCTCAGTCTGAACACATTGCAAAAGAGCTGAAGGTTAATCTAAATATTTCACTAACACAGACAAATCCCAGTAAGGGAAGCATCAAAATTCTCTATATATAATAAATACTTATTTCAGTGACAAAATTGGTACCAGGTTTTGGATAGTTGCAAAATGTTTTGTTTCAAATTAAGTGAGCAATTTTTATCACATAAAAAATTTAGTAATGAAGTACAATAAGCAACAGCATCTCTCTCAACTTCTGGTAAAACAACCATAAGTGTATGTAGTGGATGCAGGAGTCATTGCAGAGAAAAATATGTATACATGCACATATGGAAATCAAAGCAGAATCTTAATTAGATCTGTGTGCATATATACCACAATGAATAGGTGAGTCCTGTAAAGTGTGACAGGGCAAAAAGTACTCTTGATTACTGTTGTGGTTAAGTCCAGTCAGTAACTCAGAACCATGTAGTTGCTCTCTCACTCCCCCCCTTCCTCCCCACCGCTCCTGGAGGGGTGGGAAGGAGAATCAAAAGAACGTAACTCCCACGGGTTGAGATAAGAACAGTCCAGTAACTATGGTATAACACAAACCACTGCTGCTACCACCAATAATAATAATGATAAAGGAAATAACAAGGGAAGAGAATACAACCGCTAACCACCTGCCAACTGATACCCAGCCCAACCAAGCAGTGATCTAGCCCTTCTGGGTAACTGCCTTCAGTTCTACATCCTGGGCATGACGTGCTGTGGTATGGAATACCTGTTTGGTCAGTTTGGGTCAGGTGTCCTGTCTCTGCTTCCTTCTGGCTCCCCCTCCTCCCTGGTAGAGCATGAGACTGAGAAAGTCCTTGGTCAGAGTAAACATTACTGAGCAACAACTAAAAACGTCAGTGTTATCAGCGCTGTTCCCAGGCTGAAAGTCAAAAAATCAGCACTGCACCAACTACTAAGAAGGAGAAATATGACTGCTACTGCTGAATCCAGGACAATTATGCAGCAAGTATTGCCACAAAGTGGGATCTTGCACAGGGACAGGACACAGTGCTGTTTTCTGGGTTTTATTAGCATCAGTCTGGAGCATCATAGTTTTCCCACATCAGTCAATGTTCTTGAGACCTACTCCAGCTTATTTTAAAGGAACTGAGTGCCATTTATAATGTAGCCATGGCAGCACAGGCTTGTCATGGGCTGCAAATCGATCTGCATTTCCACTAATTCTTGGATTGCCAGCGTATTTGGGTTGATGTTGCTAACCTCCACCGCTACCTGCATACCTGAGCTAGTATATGATTAGCTAGATAGGCAGTCAGCATTGTGAAGTTTCCCTTAGACATAGTTCTCTGGCACAGTAAACTGTCTTGAGGTTTTGAATGTGTCCTCATGTGCTGAAAAAGGGGTGATGGTGTAAATTTTTTTTCTAAACTTAGTTTGTTAAGCATTTGCAGTTAGTAATCACAGAATCACAGAATCCCAAGGGTTGGAAGGGACCTCAAGAGATCATCTAGTCTAACCCCCCTGCAAGAGCAGGGTAACCTAGAGTACATCACACAGGAACTTGTCCAGGCGGGCCTTGAATATCTCCAGCGTGGGAGACTCCACAACCCCCCTGGGCAACCTGTTCCAGTGCTCTGTCCCTTTCACAGTAAAGAAGTTCTTCCTGATGTTAACGTGGAATAGCAAGTACAGACAATTTTTTAAGAATTCTACAAGTATCTGTGTTGGACTCAGCAACTGAAACATCTTGTAAACTTAAAAAAGTATATTTTGAGTATTCAGTGACACCCAGATTTTTTATGAAGCCTCTTGTCACAATTGTCTAGAATGTGTGATATGGTAGCTATACCTTCCCACATTGAGGGATTTTTCATTCTTCATTGTTTTTATAATTAAGAACTATGTCAAAATCTAAAGATTTTTCTCTTTAGAAGACAGTAAATCTCATAGGACCCATATACCATCTCAGGACTACAAAAAAAGTATTCTCAGCAGGGAAACTCTGCTGTCATGTTTGACTCATTGTTTTGGCATACAGGAGCATGCTTCATGGCATGTGGCCCATGGTGCTGGATGTTGCATGAATAAAGGAGAAAAATACAGAGCACTCCTCAGTCCAAAGAGCTTTGAGCCTGGGATACATCAGACCGCTAGAAAACTCTACAAGCAATCTCTAAGGTCATACTAGTCACCACAGCGGACTGATTCATCAGTCTGTGTCTGTGGACATATAGTAATAAAGCGGGAATACAGAAACTGAGGTGATAACGATCAAACTGACTGGCTGATAAATACTTTTTGCAGCAGTATTTTGAAAGAATGCAAGCAAGAAAAGGATTTGCAGTAACTGAGATGGGACAAAGAACTTGGACAAGAATTTAGGCTGTCATGGTAGGAAATGCTGTATTTTAGTAAAGTTAATGCTGGTGAAAATTACTGTTAAAATTTAGCACAGACTTGTAGTGAACTTAGTAAGCTGTAAACTGAAGATGATGTGAAGATTACAGAACCGACTGACAGGTTGAATGGTGATACTAGACACAGTAATCAGGAAAGCAGAAAGCAGTTAAAGGGCAAAAGATTATAAGATCTGTTTTCTTCAGACAGGAATTGTTCTAGAACAGGGTGGTAGATCTATTGGGTACAGAACAGACTGTTGGCTCTTTGTGTGGAGGTTGACTGGAAGTAAAGACTATAGAGATCAGTCTTTGGATTTACTTCTCACTTGAGAACCCATATAGGAAACCAGAATGGCATTACGAGAGTCTTATGAAGGGTTGTTTAAAGCAGTAATAGGAAAACTGGGGAAAAGCTTATGAAGGATTGCTTCAAGTGGTAAGAGGAAAACTAGAAAAATAAGAGTTGCAAAAGGAGGAGTCTGCCTTCCTCTCTGCTATTTGCATCATTTGATTTGGCAATCGTGTCAGTCATTGCTAGTAGCAATTTGTCTTTTCAGTGTTGACAGAAAATCAGCAAGAATGGTGAGAGAGCAAAGCAGTGTTGTGGGAATACTTGTACAGCATTTGAACGAGAGATTCCACAGTATGTATTCAAGATGAGTTTATGTGGCACAAAATTGCTTGCTATGGCACATTAGTCCACAGAGAACAGATGCAATTGTGTTCTGGAGGACGGAGTTGCTCCCAGTGGCCTCTAAAACATTGTTACACAATGTGTTTTTGGAGTGTGGGTTTGGTGGTTTGTTTTTGGGTTTGGGGTGTTGTGGGTTGGATTGTGTTTTTTTTCCCCTTAGGTCTCTTCTCCATTTTATTTATATGAGTAATTCCAATTACCTTTATTATCTACTCATAAAGAAAAGAATGGATCTCCTGCCATGTAATGAACATTAGAGGTAGAAGACTCCTGATAAATAATTTTCCTGTGAATCCACATAACCTTTGCCATCTTCACCATGTGTATCTGGTCACTTGGTAAAGTTACCTACTTTGCTTGAGCTGCTCTGTCTCAGCTTGGTTAATTGTTATGTTTGGATAGCATGCATAATATTGTATCATCACCAAAATTGTTTCAGGAATTAGTTCCTTACATAAAAAGCATAACAAGAGGAGTCTTTGGTGCATTATGAGAATAGGAAAATTTGAGACAGGTATTTGTCAGAAGGGACTGTGCAATAGCTACTCAGAGTTACTTGCAGCATGTTGTTACCACATATTGAAATGGCTTTTTTCAGGCACATTTGAAACTGTATGCACTGTAGTGACCAGGAGCTGCAATATTCTGAGTGAAATTCGTTGTGAAAAATATTAGATGCTCTGGGTCTTCATACTAGTGCATTAGTCAATCATAGAGAATGCTGTCCAAATGAAACTGGGTACTTCTGAGATACAAATAGTTGTCTGCTGGCCTGCCAGGGCAATAGGAATTCTTAAAGAGTGCTCTGCTACAGTTCTGTATCACTGGCAGTGATAAAATTTCCAACAGCTAAATCCAGCACAGGTACTAGAAAATAAGGGAACAGAAATCTCAGGGACTATAAAGAAAGCTGGGAGATTGATGTAGGCAAATGACACCTGGAATATACAAGCTACACTGTGTCCTGATGTGACTTTCAAGAGTGAGTGCAAGGTTCATTCTTTAGAGTTGGGTATGTTTGTTACACATGCTCTGGGTGAGGCAAGTGGCTAGTTTGGTATCTGTAAAAACCTGGAGTCTTAAAAAAATGTATGAAATCAAGTTCTTAAATTTAATGTTTAAATATGTTAACTGCAAAATTTAAAGGATTCATTGGTAGTTATTATTTTACCAAGTGAGCAGATCTGATCTCTCTTTTCCATAACACCCAGCATTTGCACATTACTTCATTTTCCGCACTGAAATCACTCATACTTACTGTAGTGATCTGGATTTTTAAAAATGCTAAATCTAAAAATAGATAATACGAACTGCTCTTCTGTGAAACAGATAGAACACATATTTTGTGCAGCATGAAGGCTAGTGCTTTGCCTACTTTACATGAACTAGAACCTTTTCTTAAACCCACAGCACCCAAAACCAAATTTGTAGTTTATATTGCTGTGTTTATATCTAGTTTGCATGTACTGTAAGAAGGCTTGATACCCTTCTCTCTTCTGCTGGAGATGCTGCTTGTACAACATATACCCAGGAGGTATACTCTTAATCAGAATCCCCATCTGCTTCTTAGCTAATGTTCCAATTATAGTTGGACTTCTTGCACATATTCACATCTATAATAAAATTGATGGTTTCACTATTGAAA